TGATAAAGATACTTATATTCACTACATTGACAGCACACCACACACACACACACACACACACACACACACACACACACACATATATATTTTTGTATCTATCTATACATATATGTGTGTATACATATTAGAAATGCCATATATAGGTATATGCATACACACACACACACACACACACACACACACACACACATATATATATAATGAGAGTATTTCTATTTCAAAGGTGTTGTTGGGAAGACATATGTTAACATTTTTATCATTTGACTGAGTCAGTGAAGTTCTATATTTGATTTCAAAAACCTGAGCTGCCAACTTCTGATATTTGAGAGTCCCAACACAATAAAGAGCTATAAAAATTACAAATATTTGTTTTTAATCTGAAAGAGTACTTATATTAGATATTGTTTTTTATTCAGGCTTCAATATATGGAGCTTATTATACCTGTGCCCCAAACCATTCTGATTTGCAGACTATCCCCTTTCCTTCACTTGAATTTTAAGTCCTTGGTGGTGAAGCCTTAAGACTAAGACTAAACTAATTATTCCACCTACAGCTTTGCAGACATAATTTTGTGAGGTTTCTTAACATCCATAATAATGGGAAACAATAACTCCTATAAACACATCGAATCCCATTGAATCCTGTTCATTTACCAACTATCACTTACCTATCTATTCACAAACATACACACAGAGAGAGAGAGAGACAAAGAGACAGAGACAGAGAGCAAGAGAGAGAGACAGAGACAGAGAGACAGAGAGTCACAGAGAGAGAAATAAAGAGAGATCATGTTTAATTCATCTTCCTACATTTTAAATACCTATTTTTCATACTTCAATTTAATCTTTTTGGTTCTGTTTTTCTGCAGACTCCACCCTGATATAGAGACTATCTTTCTGTCTGAATTGGGATGAATGGATGCCAGTTTAGAGTTTAATTGAGCTTTTGTTTATTATAGTGGAGAACTTCTGCATCAGGAAACGCTATCTTAAAATATTAAAAGTAGAGACTGATGTTGCTCCAAAGTATAAATGCCTGAAGCATATTACTAAGTATGACAATAAGAGAAGATAACCCTGATATATCATGTGATTGTCACTTGCTAGACAATGAGCATCATTGCATCATCAGTAGTTTATTGCGCATTCTGCATGATAGACTAGAACAAGCCACTCTTTAAAAACACCAGTAACAAAATTTGCTCTTATGATTTGACATTCAGTATATAATCTATAGCTATCAGAAACCTCAAATTTGTAGGAACACCTCTTCTTGTGAATCATATTATGTAAATGCATAATACTGAGATTCTCTATGATTTTAGGGATCTCAGTCACAAGATTGATTCTTGATTCCATGGTGAAGTTAGGCATTTATGCATCTCTTGCAAAAAATAAATGTTGCTAATGGGTTTTCTGATCTCACAGAGTATAGTTCTCTACCACATAATATTTATGAAATATTTTTATTCAGAAAGTCACATACAATTTCAAGATTTTTGCTTAACACTTATGCTTCTAATAGTGAAATTTATATTGCTGCAACAGAAACGTGTTCAATTAATGTGTTTTAAATCATGCTAATGGGGAGAAAACATACATCTATATTCCCTTTCATGTGTTCCACTACTTTACTCATTCTAATGTCTTTAGCAACCTGTTCTATACTTCTATAACTGTTCCTTACAGCCTGGCTAAATTTTACTACTTTGCTAATAATTTTCAACTTATTTTTTTATGTATTAAACACTTTGTAATCTACAGTATTTTTCAATATTTCTCAGTTTTGTCCTATTTGTATAAATCTTGGGAATGAAATATTTTTCTTTCCAAATAGAGACTTTCGTAATTTTCAACCATTGGATAGGGATAGGTTCAAACATTGAAACAGTTTTATAAATTTTGACACATTCAAAGAGATCTGTGTGTCACTTTCTGAGTATTTATGTGGGTTGTAAGTACATGTATTCTTTCCTGTGTGTGACTACGAATGGAGGTATTATAGTACACATAATCATGCTAATCACGTGAAAACCTTGAGTGTTTGTCTTAGCCGTTCCCACTGCTTGATGTAGTATTTCCTGTTTTTGTTATGCGTGTATGTCAGGATTGGCCCAGTAGCTTCCAGTAAGTTTCCTATCACCACATCCCATTTCACCATAGTTAGGTACACTGAAGCTACAAACACGTCTAACAATATCCAACTTTATGTTTTTCTGTGTATTGAACTTATGTCCTTATGCGTGAGAGATAGGTACTTTTCTCACTGAGTCATATTCTCAACTCTGACTCTACACTTTGTGCACTGAGGCATATTTCCACCTGTGACTCAATTATCTCTATTTTCCTCACAGTTCATTGATTACATATTTGTAATCAACTGACTTTAAAATTCTGATACTCTGTAGTACATATGAAATATTCTTTGGGGTATACAGTTCATTTGAGTCATAAAACTACTTCTAAAAAAAATAAGAAAACTAAAATCATGCTGAGTATATTTTCTAAACACATTTGTCTAAAGTTTGAAATTAGTAGCAGAAGGTAAATTAGAAAATTCACAAGTATGTGGAAATTAAACAACATTCTCTTAAGCAAGTAAAGAAATTCAAAGTCTAATCAGAAAGTATTTTTAGAAAAATAAAATAGAAATGAGCTATACTAAAACTTATAGGATGTAGCAAAAGCAATTCTAAAAGAGATGTTTGTGGTGAGAAATGCTTGTATTTGAAAGGAATGATCTCGAGTAAACAATCTTGTCTCACATCTCAAGGCTTTAGGGAAATAGAAATGAGCTAAGCCAAATGTTAGTAAAATAATAATAATAGTAATAAAAATAGAGCTGAAATGAATATGAGACAAAAGAAGAAAATAATTTTGAATAAAAAACTGACTTGTTTAACAATGCAATATTTTTAGAGCTGATGTTGGTTAATTTTATATGAAATTGGCAAAACATAGAGAAATTTGGGAAGTAGAAGATTCAATTGAGTAAATGTCCTAACCAGATTGGCCTGTGGGAAGACCTGTTGTGATATTTTTGTAATTAGTGTTTGATGTTGAAAGATCCAGCCTATTTGAAGAGTGTCACACTAAGGCAGGTAGATCTCAAGTGTATAAGAAAACAGGTGAAGAAAGCCTCAGAAGCAAGCCTGTAAGCAGCACTCCATAACCTCTGCATCAGCTCCTGCCTCCTAGTTCCTGGTTTGTTTGAATTTCTGCCTTACCTTCTATCAGTGATAGACTGTATACAGAATTATAAGGTTAAATAAGTTTTTTTTTCCCCAAGCTGCCTTTGGGCCTAGTATTGGTCACAATACTTCATCACAATAGAAACCCCAAACATGACACCTATTCACCAGAATGTGAAAGAAGAGAAAAAAAAAAAGGAAAAACATGGGATAATCACATTAACAAATCAGAAATGAAAGAGGTTGTTATAATAAGCTTTAAAGGAAGATTATTTATAATTATTCTTCAACAGCTAGATAATCCAAATGAAGTAGACAGTTTATAACTCTACAATCCACTGAGGCTCTTTCCTGAATTACATCTGAATATACCCCTGACCTGTAAAGTGATGAAATTAGTAATAAAGTCATCCAGTTCTGTGTGTTTTTGTCTATGTTACTATTATGAGAAATAAAGCAAAATAGACTTGAATTGGATTCCTTTTTAAAGAAATGTATTATTTTTCTAGACAAGCAGTGCTCAACCTGTGAATCATGTCCCTGTTTGGGTGGGGGGGTCAAATGACTCTTTTAGCTGGGGTCACCTAAGATCATCAGAAAACACAGGTATTTATATTATGATTTTTAGCTGTACTAAAATTAGAATTATGAACTAGCAATCAAAATAATTTCATGACTGAGGGGTTACCATACCATAAGGAACTGTATTAAGGGGTCACTTTTATTCTTTAAAAAATGAATGCGTGACCCCGGCAGGCTCGCAGAGCAGCCGCTAGTCAGGCAAGGACAGCTGTGGGTCCCTGCAAGATCCCCAGGGGCCATATGAACTGGTGGCGAGCTGGAGCTCGTCCAGGGCAGGCTGGTCATCCAAGCGGGTGGGTGAGCAGGCGGCGGATAAAAGATTTACAAGATATAGTAAATAGACATAAAGCTGAACATTTATTTCTTAAAAGAGAGAGAGAGAGACAGAGAGAGACAGAGAGAGACAGAGAGAGACAGAGAGAGACAGAGAGAGACAGAGAGAGACAGAGACATAGAGGAGACACATGTGCACACGCCAAGAGAGAAAACAGAAAGAGACCAAGATGGCGCCAAGAGGTCAGAAGTCTCTGGGAGTGGGCGTGGCTTACCCCTTAAAGGGACTAGAGATCAAAAGGAATAACAGTCTCAACACTGGACAACTGTTCTAAACGCCGTGGTAGCTAAGAACATGGCTCTCAAATCTTTGGTGTCCAGTAAACACAATCTACTAACAAAATGTCTCAGAACTCAGTGGGATTACTAGTGAATTTAAACATTCATACTAAAATAAACAAAACAAAACATGTCAATCCTTTTCCAAATTAGAATTAAATCAGAACTTACATATTGGGTTTTTACTCTCTTTTCATAAAAAATATGACTAGCAGTAGTCACGGACACATTTACCTTCAACTGTTGCTTGCACAATTTAGCGTTCACATTTTCCCTAAAGAACAGGAACACTCATTAAATGCATTTCATCCTACTGTCCTCGTGTAGGGACTGAAAAAAATGCAAGACCATATTCCCCATTGTCTGGTGGTTAGAGAATCTGAGCGGCTTAGAGGTGCAAACTGCACTTTTCACACAGCAGGTAGTCACCTGACGCTTTTAAAGTAAAGATATCCAGGATATGCTAATGTAATTCTGCTCCTTCCCAATGTAACTATGAGGTCACCTGGAGAGGAGATGTTTTCAGCCTACAGGACCAAGGGTTGACCAAGTAAATGTGACTTGAGTCATTCACACTACTTAGGAAACAGAATGTTAATGACGCTTTTTTATTACCTTCTCCCCAGTTGACACTGATATAAAAGCGGTTGCAAAAATAAACACGGGGATTTCAGGATCTGAATAAGTCCTGAAACTTCTTATTTACACTGTTGTGTGAATTGTCTTCCTTTGTCCCACGCCTCTAGGCTGGTAAGAAATGTTTTTGTTGTTGTTGTTGTCGGGGTGGTCCTTGACATCCTCCTAATGAATAAACACAATATATTGAACTTTGACAGCAGTCCAAATTGTATTCACTGTAAGTACTTCCTACTGTACATCATTCAAGTACTTTGCCAACATTAATTCTCGTAATTTCACAAAGAATTTATGGTATTTGCTTGCTAATGCAATCTTGTTGCTTCTTGTTGGTTTTTCAACACTGGATCCAGCTACAAAATCTTATTTAAAGTTGATGCATTCAAATCACTTCTAGTTATATTTTACAGGAAAGTATGTTTAAAAAGGAAAATTAAATCAGAAAAAAAGTGGATTACTACTGTCTAACTATTGTTATATAAAAATCACCAGAAGTTCCCTGCCCCTAAACAATGTAATCTGTTTTTCTGTTTTGACCATAAAAAATTTCTGGAGAAGAAAGTCCTTAATTATTCCTAAGAACGAAGTCTACTGAAGCTAAAACACTAAACTGTTTCAAAATGTTGAAGAAAAATCATCTCTCTCTCTCTCTCTCTCTCTCTCTCTCTGTCTCTGTCTCTCTCTCTCTCTCTCTCGCTCTCTCTCTTTCTCACCTATAGTCTATTTTGTTTCTGAGTCTTGTCCTCTTTGACAATCCTGAAGTTGAAGACAAATCTGCAGATGTTTTCCCTGATACTGTAATAGTACAGTATTTATGTCTGTAATTTCCTTGTGTTCCTCATAAAACATTATATATGATTAAGCTCAAATCATAATCTCACTATGCTACACTTTACCATAACTGCAAGTCCATTTTGCCATGCGGCATTAAATATTTACAAGTCCTAGAGATCTAGCATGCGGACATCATTATTGGGTCACAGTTTAGTACAAATCTTTAAATTTGTGGTTCTTCAAGAATAAGACCTGGAACAATTTCTCACTAATAGTTTCTGTTATAGTTTTAACACTCTTGGAAATTTCTGAAAGAGTGGTTGGTTTCGCAACACCACAAAGTTTTCTTTGTACTTAATATAATAATAAATTACAGGTGTTATTTTTAATAACATATGATGATTTAAATATATCGATTTTATCCTTTTCCAGATTTGAATCATTTCTACACACTTTGGGGTTTTTAAAAGTGGTTTATGAAATATTTAGGGCATGCATTATTTAAAATGACTATTTTGGAATTACTTTTTTCCTATTTCCTATTATAGATTAATAAAATTTATTTTGTTCTAGGTAACAATTATGAAGAAAACCTATCTAACAATTACAATGAAGTAGAATTAAATAAAAATACCATAGTTGTTTATTTGTAAGATTAACTGGCTATGATAACCACACAACTTTTATTTGGTTTTGATTGATTCTTAGTTTTAATCTGTTATAAATATTACATTTGCAAGAGATTTAAAAACATATCTAAAGACACGGAAAGTTAATTTTCAGGGGTTTCTGAAGTATGAGCACTATTTTTCATACCTATTCTCTATTCAGTGCCATTAAGATATGAGATAATAGATTTTCTATGTTGAGTGACCTATGAAAGACCACATTATCCTTGTGATGTGCTCCAGTGATATATGCAAAATCTACTTCCTGTGGGGAGCCACAGAGAGGAGTGAACTGCAGGGTATATCAATTTCATTCATGCCTTCAATACTGATCTCAAAATGGGAGAGACAAAACCATTTCATGAACTTGAATAACTGCATTCAAAGATTTGATTATTTAACACTTAATTTCTAATTTGCACAAACGGGAAAGATTTGCTTTTTTGTGACACTTTGGTTAAAACTGAGGTCAAACTTAATAACTTTAAAAGTTGTGTCACAGAAAATCAAAAGCTTTCGTCTTTAGAGGAGTGATTAATAGAATATCTAAGTCTGAGAACCTGGGAGAGAAGCACGGTTAATAAAAAGTCAGAGAGAAATAGGCATTTAACCTGAAGACCCGAAAAGCAAAGCAGCCAGCTACTGGCTCTTACTTTGACCTCAGTCCAAAAAGGGTGATCCTGCCTCCAGGAATCTCAGAATGATACTGTGTCTGTGTTGTCTCCTCCTGTTTTGTAACCCTCTCTAGTTCTAGAATTAAAGGCATGTATGGTCCAGTTTCTATGGCAACTAGTGATGCTACTGGGATTAAAGGTGTATGTTATTGCTGCCTGGTCTATAAGGCTAACCAATATGACTGTTTTACTTTTCTGATCCTCAGGCAAGTTTTATTTATTAAAATAAAAGTGAAATGTCATTGCATGGGAGAATCACTATATATATGCATGTATGTATATGTGTATAAACTTGAAATGAATACATATCTAATTGCCATATTTTTATTTTCCATGAAGAAACATGGTAATGATTTTAAATTGTAAACATAGATCTGAATGTTAATATGTACATGGTTCAATATGAAAACTTTAGATCAAAAAGATCAAAATTCTAGAAATGAATTTGACAAAATTCAAGTTTAAGTTAATCCCAACCTCTGAACTTTTAAATACAATATTCACTTTTTAAAATGAATATAGATACATAATATAGAGAAGCTTATACTATACTAGAGAATGGATCCATGTATGTTGATAAAATTTCCAACTAAACTTTAATTTCTTTTTTATTAGTTATAAAAATTAACTGCATAATGTGTATGGTTAGAAGCAGTACCTCAGCTCACTGGCACCCCTTTATATAAAAAGTCTGGATTGTTTAACTGGGGGTTTCACCCAAGCTCCTAGCATGAGCTCCCTCCACTAGGAATTGCCTCTGTCCAAACTTCAGCTCCAAGAAAGCCTGCCAAATGGTGAACCCTCCCCAGGGAAGGTCAAGACCACTCCCACAGACTATTTAAACTGCCCCCAGAGAATGAACACGTGATCTCCCCTTTTCCTTCTTCCCCCTCCATGTTTCCCAGGGTCACCCATGAGTATTGCCATCCATTAAACCATGGGATCTTCTAATTCGGTATGAATTTGTCTGATCAGAATTATTTGCGTTGACAGATTTGTCTAAGAAAAATACTTAACATAATGGTCTTGAAATATTGTTATGTATGATTATTTCTATTTCTGGGTCTCAACTGGTGAAATATGAGAACCTAGTCCTCTACATTTTTCCTCCCCTTGACATATGTTCTCCATCTGCAGCCCACAAGATAAAGAAATAAATGTAAAAAATGAATATTCCAAAATAAAAATAATCTTTATTAAAAAAAACCATTAAACAAGTTCTAGGAGTTTCACCATTTAAACTCAATTATATAACACAAATATAGTATTGAACGAACAGGAAGAATTTACATGTCTTTTAAGTCAGGTGGAATTTTACAACATTATGTCAGTGCTACAGTTTATAAACAGTGAGATAATGTGAGGATATTTTTTCCCATCTTGGATTTCTCTATTAGAATACTTCTCAGGGGAGCCTTATCATTTGCAGTAAGAAAAGTTGAATATATTGGGAAGCACACAGCTTAATAGATAATTCTTGCTATATTGCTCCAGAGAAAAAATGATAAACTGTTAGATAGATGAGAGAACTCAACTCTAAAATAGCTTTCAAGGACAACTTGCATGTGTGATATCAAAGCCACTTATGGTGATGTAACTGATACATTCACAAACAGAGTCTCCTCATGATCCAGCCACCTCTTAAAGATATCACTTGTTACATTGCAAATGAGATTCCAACCTGGAAACACATTAAAATCAATGAAATTGCCTGTGAGTATATGTCAGCCCTTCTTCCTTGTACTGAGTTTATTAATGGTATCTACTCCACAGTGAGAAGCCCACCAAGTTTTATGTCTACTCTCCAAAAGGATCATTTATTTATGGAGTCATTGTAACCAACTGACAGAGAATCCATCTTTAGCAATTATTAGAAATATCATGGGGAAACGTTACAACTTATGTTTAATATTATAAAATATTACCTGATGAACAGAAACATTTTTTATTGATTTCTTAATTAAATATATTCAAACAAGCATCAAAAGTAAGTGAATGGTTTATTTTATGAGAATTAAAATATACAATACACATAATACATATGAAGGCATTGTGCTTTGTTTAATGCACTGTAATATAATAACAACAAATATTTCACATGAACCTCTATAAAGCATCTATTTATGTTTTATTAATTTCATATTTTGTTGATTTTTTTATTTTTTCAAATAGCTTATTTTATTTTAAACACAAAATTAAATACAGTATTAAATTAGAGAAATAATTTCAGCTATCAATCTATGATCAAAAGTTAAAAAATTATTTGTCACAGAAAACATCAAGGATTTTCCACAATTTAGAAACTTGATCTGAATAAATCCTTTTCAAGAATACAGCCATGTGTTGAAATGCATAATTGACATAAGAAATGTACTGTAGAATTCACTTTTCATTTCTTTTCCCTAACAACTACAATATTGTCTCTTCTAAATTTGTGTTTTCTGCAGGCTTGCTTTAATTTTATTTAAAAACTATATGTAAGGATTAGTTATAATAGTTTAATTTCAAGTTCTTAAATTTTAGGCAGAAAAATTAACAAGTTATTTAAATACCTAGCTAATACAGAAAGACATAGCACAGGAAAAAGCACTCACTTTGTGCTAATTTCCAGAGTTGTTTGAACACTGACCTGTAAGGTAATGAATAAACAGAGTAGGGCATGTGTACTCTTGGAAAGCATCACCTTCATCTGCTATTGAGCATTGTGTTTGGGGTAAGCACCCCTTAGATAAATTTCACTTTTCATGAATTTTTGTTGAAAGGCATCTACTTTATCATTTAGTTATTTGAGAAAGAGCCAAGTAACTTAGTATATTCAGTGAGTAGGAGGAATATGTAGAAGAGTTAGTCATCTAATGGGACATTTTAAATCAATGTTGTTTTCTTTATTGGATTGCTCCTATGTTGTCAAAAATTGTTCAGGATACTCATGTCTCTAGTGAAGATCATTTATTTTAGACACCAGGTTGATGTGAGATTCTTCTCTGTATGCTGTGATTATGTTTTATTTTCATTAATTAATAAAGAAGCTCCATTGACGTAAAGCATACAGCAAGGAAGAAAAATCCAAGCAGAGACAGAGGGTAAGAGGCAGAGTAAAGCAGGAACCATGTAGCCCCTAAAGGAATGACATGCCAGCACCGGTAAATCTCAGGCTAGTGGCAATACATAGGTTAATAGAAATTGGTTAATTTAAGATGTAAAAGCTACTTATGAATGTGCCTAAGCTGTTGGCCAAACAATATTATAATTAACATAGTTGAGCATGATTATTCAGGTCTGTGCAGTCAGGAAACAGAAGCGCAGTCTTAGACAGCAGAAGATTATATATTTTCTTTAAACTTTTGCAAATTTTTTTTATCTTTCAGTTAGACCAAAATATTATATTATTTGATAATTATTAGGACAGATATTTGATCCTTTTTAGAATGTTTTATTTTCCAATGATGATACTGCAAATTGAAGGCTTATCTAGAAGGCATTGTAGTCTCTTTAATACATTTGATTTCTGTATATTTTAGGAATTATTTTTGTGACAACTGTATTATGACTAAGGTCTAAAAATGTGCTAATAGTAAAATATATGCTGCTCTTGATTGGTAGTAATTTTGTTGGTTATAATTTAACATTTTTACTGAGGTAAAGCAAAATGAATGAGTTTGTATTTAAAAATTACAGTAGAATTACAAAGAGAAACAGATGATAGAAAATAAAATTAAGGCAATTTGAATCTAACTTGTAAAGTTAATTATGATTAAATTAAAAGATTTTTATTATTTCTTGTCTGCTCATTGTTCATTGAATGTTCTTATTATATATGCAAAACCTAAGACAGAATATTGAAAAAGACCCTATATTCATCGCTGATCTTAAAGACAAACACAAACTAAGAAAAAGAAAATTGTAAAACTGAGGATTTATTGCATTCAGAGCTTCAATATAATCTTGGTGAAAATATGCAATGAGGAGGGGACTTTCCAGTGCGTCTCCTGTTTGAGGCAAGAAAATAAAAAAATCAAAAAAAAATTTTTAATGAAAGTTACGTCAAATGGGTGGTGATATAAAGGTGAATGTTCATTTTTAAGACTTAATAATAGAAATTATTCGTAAGAAGCTAATCCAGAAATTTAGATAATTATTTAAGATTAGGTATGAACAAAGGATAATCAAGGACATATCATTCTATAATGTAGAATATACATATTATTTCAAAATAATAGAACACACAGAGAAAAGATGAAAGCCTCCTTTTAGGCAGGAGACAATGAAGATCTAAATGCATATTAAGAAAATGGGTAAATTTTTGCCATTTAACTCTATTTCCAACTCAGATTCTAATTTCTAATATTATGGCTCCTATGCCTATATTTAACTCCAATGATATATTTTCATTTTGTTTATGACATGCACAGTAAACTTAAATGCCTTCTTCAATTTTTAAAAAAAATAAGTATTCAACTTAGTTGGGACAGTTGTAGATTATAGTAATGGCTAAGTGCATTCACCAAGTATTTTCACTGTTTATCCTCTTCCACTCCCTTAGGAATAGAAATCGGGATTAACTCTTACAGTCTCACTGTTTTCTAATCACCTTTTCATGCTAGTTGCAAGTGTTGACCAAGCTCTAATAGGAAGCAGATAAATGCAGACTCCATTCTGGATTCTGCTGAATGATAAACTGTAGATCTAGAAGGTCAAAGCCATACTATTCAGATAGAAGTGATACCCACCTATGTTCACTATGACATTATTTATCCCTAAAGAATCAAAGATCCAATCTTTGAAAACTTTCAGCCATGTTGTTTTATACTAAAATATTTAAGTACAAGTTGACTCCATGTTTAGGGAAAGAAAAGTAAAGCAGAAATAATTTTCATTTGCACTGTGGTACTTACTTAAATAAATCTACAGTAGTGCTTCCTGTTAATGAAAATTACAACATATTAATGACTTTTAATGTTATTTAATATCCTACAACTGCCCAGATCATGGCAGTATTACTTATAAAATATGTATGCAAGTAATTT